AGAATTCAAGAGAAAGCAATTAAGGGTAAAACCAGATATTAGTATGGGAGCGCATGCAGGTATGGTTGAAGTTGGAATTCTGGGTAAAAGTGATTGAGAGAACAATAGAGTTTAGATTGAAAGGAAACCAAAGTATTTACAAGATAAGAAATTGAAATGAAATAATATTTGAAATGAAATGAATTTGAAGTAAAATAATGAAAAAGAATACTTAAGAAATATCTACAAAAAATATATATTTGTCCGCCACACTAGAATACCTAAATTGCTAAGAAACCTAAATTTGCACTGTAAGGAAATTGCTAACATATCCTTGAATGTCGTGCACTATAGTATCTCCTTAATTAAATGACATCGAAACTCGAAAGATTGGATGAGACAGTTTCGGGTCTATAGGTAGTGATAAATTCCAGATGCTATACGCATTTCATTTCCTATTAGGAATTTATTACTTCAAAATTCACCTGCATAAAGGTTTACCTATATCCTAGTTCAGCGAGAGTTCTTGCCACCACGGTGTTCTGTAAATAGCACAAGTCTTCAGCCGTCACAAGTGAATCTAAATAATCATCGTACGTTTTAAATTGCAACAGTCTCTTATCCGCTTCAATTTGCGGTGTTGCGAACTCTAGAAAATTTAAAAGTTTGTTAAACATCTTGGAATATCTCACGATCAGACCTATTCAAATTACCAACAGCACGAAGAAAATCCATTATTATTGGAATCAGTTACACTGAGATTCTCCTGATTTCAACTTCCTGTTTCATAAAAATTCAGCTTTGGTACTGGATGTCACCGTTTGTAAATGCTACTACAAAAAAATTAAATTTGAAATTTTAATATTTCAGAAAATCTGAATGATTAATAACTTACATTAATTTGTTCATATAAAATACCTTAACTTTCACTCAATTTAACTTCTAATTATTATATTTATATGACTCCAGTACACTTTGATATTTTTTGTTGACTTGCTCTGATCTCTGAATTACCAATTTTATCGTTCTAGTCTCTCATACAGAGACTGTGAGAAATCCATAAAAACACCTAGGCAATAACTGAGAGACTGTGAATGACTGTGACAGATGCTCTCAGAGACGCTGAAAGACTGAAAGATTGAGAAAAGAGACTGGAGAGAGACTGAAAAGTTTTGTCTAGGGAGGTAACTGATACATCTGCATGATGGTTTCGCAAATTGTCTGTATACGACACCTATTGTTCAATAAATGTACTAGTAATACTCTATAATAGGTGACCTTCACCCACTGAGGGTTAGATAATGGTTGCGAAAATTCCCCTCATTATCAAGTTCAGTTTAAGGAAGCCTTCTCAACCTAATAACTAACAAAAAGCAAAAAACAATTTATAGAACGCGTTTGGCCGACTATTACGTAAATTAGCCCATTTCTGCTTATTAGCCTTAACATATCTATACAGGGTGTTTCTGAAGTAAGTAACAAGCTTAAATGCAATAGAGAATGGCATAGTGAATAAAGCAGCGTGACTAAGAGACAAAAAATCACAAGTTACAATCCAATGCCGGTCCTGGCCGTGAATTTAGTCTAGGCAATATGGGCGGATGAGTGTGAAAAATTATGCGAATTAAATCTTTTTACGCAGTTTTGTTAGGAAGATTCTCCTAAATTCAACGATATAGATTGCCAGCCGATAATACGGTCGGCTATTGTTTAAACAAATTCTCATCATTTGTTTATTTATTATAGCATTTTTATAAAATTGTGTGTGGACCAGTTAATCATCGACATAAAGACACGAATTCTCATTCATATAGTCTCAAATTACAAAAGGCAAATAAGTTGGAATGGTTTCATAAGCATATCATGCTGGTCATGACTTACGTACGTACGTAGGGTCTTTTAAATATTCAATATTAAAATTCTAACTCTGCCGTGAGACACCCTGTATAATACATGCATTTTATATTTACAGAATGCACAAAAAGTTCAATGTTTCTTAAAACCATAGGATTTTGGCTGCTTCATTTGCTTGGAGAATAATGAACAGCAATTGTTTATTGGGTTGCGCCCCCGCCCCTCTGCCAAACAGAATATTTCGCGGGGGGCTTGATCATCATCAATGTATATTACTTACTACTAGTAGTAATAACACAGGTCTGCGACAAAAAAGTTTTTTGTATAAATTTACTGTTCGATATGGCGGTATCCCGCCGGTTTACTAATTTGGTGAAATCACTTCGAAGAAGTAATGGACTGTAGATTTGTTTTATATACAATTTTATTTACACAATACACAATATATACAATGTCGGTTAGTGATATGATACACAAGTCACAAGGAATAACTTGTTTTTCGGTTAATTTGGTTAATATTTTGGTTTTAAATTGATTGATTGGAATGAGATTTGGATCTGTTTTAAATCTTACAAGAACACTCATTTATAACTTACTCCACCCCCACGATAATGATGGAAAAAGTCGAAATGGATTATACCTGAAAGTACATCTGGTGGTGAAATTACCCAGTCAGGTACCAACCCTCCGAGAAATGATGTCTGGGCAAACCAGATAATAAACTTAGTTTAGCTGGTCGTAAGAATTGCATTTACGACCAGGGAAGAACATCTATTTACAAAATATACAAATGAAAGGAGATGAATAACCTAATAAACCTAAGAATTATACCAAAAA